ACGCAATTATCTACTCCGACGGAGCGGCGACGACTTTATGTAGTCAGAGAAACACAACAGTGAATGAATTTCAGTGTTGTTGAAGTGATGCATTTGCTTCATATAAGGCATATAAACCTCTAAGTATTATTTCTCCGTGGTGAGAACAAGTTGGTGAGAACATACACTCTGCAAACCAGCAACGACAAGTAAAGGTGTTTCTCCCGCGAAAAAAAATGCTGCTGCTGCAGTGCTCCTGCTGTACACAAAAAGATCATCAAATACTATCATCCTACTACTACTACTACCACTACACTACTACTACTACTACTACTACACTACTACTACTACTACTACTACTGTGTTGGGATTCTGGGCAATTTCATTTCGGTGATACCTACATAGCTAACGGCAGCAGCAAGTGCCCAAAGCTAGAGTGGCAATCAATTATTAGCACGTTTTTTGGTTCAGGAAGTGCAGCTACACGACGCACCCCCTGTTGAAGGTGTTCGCCGCACCGTGTATCCTGACGTACGTTAGTATAGAAGCGGGTCGAACTAAAAAATGCAAGTACCCCAGGCTGCCACCTACAGAAGTAGTACATACAAGTAGGCTTGCTGAGAACAACGACACGAAAACAACACCACGACATGTGATGGCTTGGAAAGTGCAGACCCCCTACACCCGAGTTTCGCCCATCGTTCCTGTTGCTAGGCTACTGCCGCCGCTGCTGGCACCAACGCCCGACTGTCGCTGGCGAACCTCCCTCTGTGTCTTGGTGTCGCACGTGGTTGCCCCCTTATTACTCCCCGATGATGATGTTGGTGTGACACCAATGAGGTCCAAGACTTTTCTGCGCTCTGCGTCGGAAATAGCTATCTCCGATCGAAATTTGGGACTACCGCCACCATCGACCTCGCTGTGTACTGACTTGATGTGGGCAGCCATGTTGTACTTCCAGACGTATTTTTTGCCCGGGCATATTTGGCACGCCATCGGCAGATTAAGGCATAGTTTATACGTGGACTCCTTCCGCGCGTGGCCCATTGAGAGCGCAACGTCCCAAGTCTTGAGTGCACCTTCGCGGGGGGCATCGGGGCACGTAGATGTGCAGATCTCTNTTGCTATCTCCGATCGAAATTTCGGACTACCGCCACCATCGACCTCGCTGTGTACTGACTTGATGTGGGCAGCCATGTTGTACTTCCAGACGTATTTTTTGCCCGGGCATATTTGGCACGCCATCGGCAGATTAAGGCATAGTTTATACGTGGACTCCTTCCGCGCGTGGCCCATTGAGAGCGCAACGTCCCAAGTCTTGAGTGCACCTTCGCGGGGGGCATCGGGGCACGTAGATGTGCAGATCTCTACTCCCTTCTTCGACCCTTGTTTCAGGAAGCTCTCGCACATGCCGTCACTGCGCCCGCAGAACCCGCACGTCACCGTGGGGGTGTATTCTGCTGCTTTCTGCTCTCTTGCCCGTCTCTACGCGCTGCCTGTTCTAAACCTTACTACTGTAAGCAAATTATGTATGTACAACCCGCCCCCCCTCCCCCCCCTCAGCTCAATTTTGCCAAAATCCAGGTTTGGGGCAGTGCATCCCTGAGTGCTCTCCGTGAGCCCCCGTGCGTGTGATAAGCGGGGGCTCCGGGCTCCGTCGATAAAATGCGGCCCAACTTCAGGGGTGTGGTATCTCATGTCACCGTGTGATAAAATTACGCATTTTTCGCGTTGAAAAAAACAGCACAAGGGTGTGGTATTTTGTACTTCGTTTTCTGAGGGAGGTGTGGTATCTAATGAAAGTGTGATATCTTATGCAACTTACGGTAGTCTCGTTGGCATTACTACTACAGTTTCTCTGTATGTATGGTACGTGTGTCGTCGTTGGAGATGCGATGACGAGTTTTAGGCCGACGCTGTGATGATACACCAGTCTTGTGTGTATAGTCTGTGGTGGCTGTGAGCTCAATTTGTCACGGCGTTTTTCGTATTTTCAACCAATGCGTCCCGGGTTTCTTGTCACGAGTTAGCGATCTGGCGTACCGCTGTCTGTACAATAGACCAGACACCGTAACCAGAGAGTTGGCACCATCGTGCAATTGGGGTTAAATTGTTCGTGTGTCTGGATACGAGCATGGTAGATCTGCTAGCAGCACGGGGGGGGGTACGTAGACAGGAGCATGCGTATGCCTGAAAAAGGCTACTATGTGTGGCCCCCCTTCCCCGAATCCGGGAGGGCCACTTCTTCCCTTCCTTTCCTCGCTCCCGCGGGTGCCGAATCAGAGAGAGTTAAAGCGTGTCTTTTCCTCCCAAGTACGGACATACCAACACGCTAGTGTTTATTCCCTCGAGGGAGTCCATTAGGGATGGCGGGCCGCAGAACCGGAGGGACCACTCCGGACGGCTCGCAGGCAGGAGACACAAATAGCAGCGAGCAGATCGACAGCATGCGGTCTGAGATCAGTTCGCTGACACAGCAAATGGGCCAGCTGGTGCAGCTGGTCGGAGGACTTGCTGCACGTATAGAGGAGAAGTCCGGCGGTGCCACGGAGGGCGCCGCTGAAAGCGGCGGCGCCGTGGAGAGCGTCGCCACAAGCACTGCAGGTCATTTTGGGACCGTGCAGTACGACGGGAGCGCGCAGGCAGCGGACCTGCGAAGAGAGTCTGGTCCTTCGGGACGACACAGCGGCGAAGTAGGGGGTTCAGACCCCCAAGAGGTGAGAGTAGCCGCTGCTCACAATCAAGCTTGTTTCAGCAGC